CTGAGCTAAATCCCTGGCTCTGTTTTTAAAAAAATCTGTATCTGCTCTAGAATCACTAAGCATGTCTTTCATTCTGGTCACCATCTCTGTAATTATCTGAAAAATTATTTATTTTTTGATTTTTTTCTAGAGCCTAGTTTATCTGCTTTGTTATTTCCATTGTTACCATTTCAGAGAGTAGGTGGCTTTTGGATTGTTCTACCTCATTGACCCCTGGGTTTGCCTTTGGTGAGCTGAAAGTCTGGGTGTGGGTTGCATCTTATTTAAATGTCTTTCCATTTTAGGCAGAATTTTTCTTTTTTCTTTCTTTTTTTTTTTTTTTGGTACCAGGGATCAAACTCAGGACCTTTTGCTTTTGAGGCAGGCGGCAGAACTACTAAGCTAAATCCCTGGCCCTTGTCTTCCCATTTTATATTTTTTTCTTTTTAGTTTTATTTCTGGGTTGATGCTTGTAAATTGTTTATAGTGAGTAGCTTTATTGCCAGTATTCAGAACCCTTAGGGAATGACTACTTGCTTTTGGGTTTTGAGTCTGTTGCAAGATCCTACCCTTTCAGTTAATAGGGATGAGAAGTTTCTATCTGCTTGGCCCAGCCCCTGGTTCTTTGGCACTCGGCTATAATATTTTTTCAGATCTTCAGGCAATCTCAGTCTTGGTATACCAGGAAGGACAACTGATTAGTACAGTTATGTCACCTTGGCTAAAGTAGTACAATCAGCGATAACAGTGACATCAAACACAGCCTAGAAAATGGCAAATTGTGGTAACTATTAATTTGCCACCTGTAACAGTGTGATTTGTGGTTTTATAACAAAATCTAAAATGAACCAGTATGTAGTAAATAACTCCTCAATAGGATAATTTTACCCTTAGGGGAGAAAATTTAAAAGGGGTTGGGGGAAAATAGTGAAATAGCAGAAGAAGAAGAGATTAGAAGCAGGGGTGGATGACAAAGGAAGATCTTCCAAACCTTGGGAAAAGGGTGAAGAAGATAGTATGGAAAGAGAGAAGAAAGAAATAAAAACAGAAGGGCTGGACTGGGGATTTAGCTCAGTGGTTCTCCTGCCTTCTGTGCAAGCGCAAGGACCTGAGTTTGATCCCCGGTACCAAAAACAACCCAAAACAAAACTCAAAAACAGAAGGGCTGGGGATTTAGCTCAGTGGCACTGTGCCTACCTTGTAAGCACAAGGTCCTGACTTTGATCCCCGGTTCTGCAAAAAGAAAAAAAAATAAAAACAGAAATAAAATAGAACAACAACAAAAAACTAGAAACTGTGTTCCCACTCAATGTAAAAACAATAAAGAGATAAAACAAAATAGAACAAGACCAAAAAACAGGAAAGAGAGAGGAAAAAGAAAAAATTAGGAATAAAAAAATGAAAAAGAAAAAAAAGGTCCAATTTAAAGTGTGTCTCTTGGGCAAACAGAGTCCAGATCTGAATTGATTAATCCCAGCAATCCAGCTGTAGTTTTAGGGTAGGGTAATGGGTAATCCAGCAAGCCTGCACCTTTAGTTCCACTGAAGTTTTGCCTGCTTTCTGGCTATGAGGCTGGAACCAGATTTGCTGAGCCTGTAGTAGTCCGCACACCTCCTGACAGCTTGAACCCCTGCTCTCAGACCTCCTGCCAACTTGAACTAGGAACCCTCACAGCAACACCCAGAGCCCCTAGCTGGAGTTGGCCTGTAGCTGTTCTGGGTTCTGAGCTCAGTTGGCCCTCTCCAAGATGGCTACAGGCCAATCACCTTCTCCTGGGGGATGTCTGACCCCAAAATAATTCACCAGCTGCTGCATCCACTGCGTCCACTGCTCCATTCCACTGGTGATTATCTGTGGAGGCCTCTGGGGTTGCCAGTAGTCACCATGAAAGTGCAGGTTTGACCCACCCTTCCCTCGCCCAGACAAAGCACTGCCTACCACCTGCCTCCTTTTCGTTGAAGTCTCTCTTTGCTCTCTCAGTGGTCTTCAGTTCTCACTTCAGATCCTTCCTGAGTCCTGGGGAATCCACTTCCCTTTTCCTCCTCCTCATGCTGCTATATTCCAGTGTCTGGACACCAAATCTTGAAGAAGCTCTTTCTCTGATGCTCACCACTCTGAGTTGTCATCGTCGTCCCCCCCCCCCGATATTAAATAGTAAAAGCTGGGTTTATTCCCCTCTAGAACAGTAGTTCTCCATCTATAGTATGAATAAAATTTACCTGAGCAACTTGTTATGATGTAGCTTGTTATTATTCCTTGCCCTTGCCCCGCACCAACAGATCTGTACTAACTGGGCCCTCTTCCATCCATCATAATTTTGATATAGGCAGCCTTATTCTTTTTTGTTTGTTTGTGTTTGTTTTTTGAGAGGATTTTGCTATGCAGTTCAGGCTGGCCTCGAACTCACAGCAGTCCTCCTAGCTCAGCCTCCTGAGTGCTGGGATTACAGGCATGTGTCACCGCATCCCGCCCTTGCTCCTATTCAAAACCTTTAACCCTGAGGAATGAACTCTTGGTAGATCACAGGGAAAATGGTAGTATCAGCTGCTGCCTTATTTTGGATTCCTCAGTAGGTATAAATTGAGCTCTTGGAAGCTAGTTGGTGGCCTTTCTTCAGCTTTTTTCTTCTTTCTTCAACTTTAAGTAGCCCTTATTTTGTTTTAGAGTATTTTGGAACTTCTAGGTTACCAATGTTGGTGGTCTTGGTGAGCAGCAAGATCTCACCCTCCTACAGTGTTACATCTTTCTGCCAAGGGATTAAATTCACAAAACTTTTTTCCTTGCTTTATGCCAAAGTCCCTGATGAATCCTCATGAAAGAGCAAACTTAAACAAAGTAGACTTGAAAATTTTATTGTGTGATTTTTTTTTCTTTTGTGATTTTTTTTCTTATTGTCTGAATTTACTATGATCTGGATAATATTGCTTTTGTAGCTAGTAGAGGGATAATTAAACCAACATTAAGGTGCGAAAGGGAAAGCCGGGCATGGTGGTGGATGCCACTTGGGAGACTGAGGCAGGAGGATCTTTTCCAGAGTTCGAGGACAACCTGCCTTAAACTCACTGTTTAGCCCAGGCTGGCCTCAAACCCACAGTGATCTTCCTATCCCAGCCTCCTGAGTGCTGGGATCACAGGTGTGCCCACCACTCCTGGAAGCTAAATGTTATCCTGTAGTTTTGACACAGTGTTTCTTCAGGAGAATTGGGGCTGGAGGTGCAATTTTCGCTTTGGATGGGCTGATGATCCTGAGAGATTGAGAATGTGTCTGCTGGCCAGGCGTGGTGTTGCTGTCTGTAATCCTGTTGGTCTGAGGGGCTGAGGCAGGAGGATTCCCAGTTCCAGCCCAGACTGGGCAATTTAGCAATTATTGGTATGAAAACAAAAAAAAAAAAAAAAAGATGTAGTATAAGGAAATTTGGAAACTTAAGTGACAGAAATACGATTTACATGGGTGAGGGGAACTTTTAACTTTTTAATTAGGATGTTATCGCAGACTTACAGGTTTAAAAAAAGAATAATACAGTTAAAACCCGATGTGGTTGGCTGCTTGGGCAACTTAGACCTTATCTCAAGATGAGATTTTTAAAAGGTCTGGGAATGTGGCTGAGTTATGGTAGAGGGTCTGCCTACCATGTGTTAGGGCCTGGGTTCAGTCCTTAATATTTTAAAAACAAAATTTAAAAAATCTGATCTCACCCGCGCCCCATTCCTGTAAGTCACATTCTGGGAAGACTAAGGAAAGATAAAAATGGAACTGAAGGTATTTTGTCTACTTTTAGGTCCCAGGTTGGGAGTACTTTAATTAATAACTCCCCTTGCAGTGAGAGGAGGCACTAATGAACTTAATTCTCCTTTGTTAACATTTTGGCCTGGAGTACTTTAGCAGAAGCTCTTTATGGTATGTATTAAAGTGAATCTAGAGGTTACTTAGTTGTTCAAAGTGTTACTGCACTGACTGCAACATAGATTCTCTTTGTTTTGTTTTTTTGAGACAACCTCTACTGTATGGCTCAGCCTGGCCTTTCATATGCTGTGTAGTCCAGGCTGACCTCAAACTCATGATCCTCCAGCCTCAGCCTCCTGAGTGCTGGGAATATAGACAGATCCTTAAGATCTTAATTGAGACTGATCTAAGAAGATGTAAGGCAAGAATTTATGAAGTAATTTATCAGTGTCTCAATAGAGAGGAATCCAATACCTTTTTTTGTTTTTGTTTTTTGAGACAGGGCTTGCTATGTAGTTCCAGCTGGCTTTCAACTCACTATGTCATCTAAAGTGGCCTTGAGCTTGTGATGATCCTCCTGCCTTAGCTTCCCAAGTGCTGGAATTACAAGCTTGCACTACTATGCCCAGCCTTTGTCAGCAATTTTTTTTTTTTTTTTTATGGTACTGGGAATTGAACTCGGCGGTGGTACCACTGAGCTAAATTCCCGGCCCTGTCAGCCTTTTGACTCTTAATACCTTTGCCATTAACACTTGTCCTCAAAATGCCAGAGAAATTGAAAGATGTTATGTGCTGGGCCAGGGATGCTCTCTAGGGTTTCCGTGTCTGGTTTGTAAGGTGTAATTAAGAGCCCAGGCTTTTTGGTCAGACAAGTCTAGGTTTAAATCCTAGCTCTGCTGCTGCTAGCTGTGTGACCTTGGATAAGCTACATAGTTTCTCTAAGTTTTAGTCCTCCATTGGAAAAATGAGGGTATATTAAGGAAGCTTTATCAGGGGGGTAGGAGATAGATAGGATGCGTTATAATATGTCAAGCACCTTGTACAGTACCTTGCACATAAAAGAGTGACCAGTAAGTGGTTACTTAGCTGCGCCTAGGTCAGTCACACTGCGCTGATCTAGGAAGCATGCCAGCTAGGGGAGCCCTTGGTGTGAGGCTTGCAGGTGTTTATGGAGGCGGATACTCCGTTTACGGGGACAGCAGTAGGAAAACGGTTTCTCTCCCTAGTGCTGGTTTCAGCATCTCTTTTATGGTTTTAAAAAAAATGTTTCTCATATAGATTTGGGTCTTCTTTTTAGGGAGACCAAAGAAGGAGGAAAAATTATTGTGGAAATTGATGACAAAGTGGCAAAAATCAGAAATATAAAGGTAAGCCTGAAAGTATTTTCCATTTGCTTTCCACTGGCGGGCTGATTTTGGAATGGTGTGTATGTGAGTGTGTTTAAAATGAGAAAGGAAAGGAAAGAGCCTATAAGGGGAATTGTAGGAAAACCTTGGACCAATTGTAAAGCAAATTAAAAAATAAATCAAAAAATAAGTGCAAGGAGTGTGGTGGTTGTAGCCTGTCTTATCAAATAGGTGCAGCTGCTTTGGAAACTGATAGGGAGCTGCTTTGAAAATAAACACAAAGGATGCTATGGAGCCATGATGAGCTTAACTCATGCCATGGGCAGTGCAGTGTCTTACTTGCCCAGCTACGACTGTTTTAAGCCTTTTAACTGATACCACTTTAAAGAAGTGATGGCGAACCTTTTAGAGACTGAGCGCCCATGCTACAACTCCCTGCCCCTTATCAAAAGGAGCCAACACTACAGTTAAACCTGAATACTGAGGGTTTTTTTGTTGCTGTTGTTTTTGTTTTTTTGGTACTGGGGATCAAACTTGGGACTTGTGCTTGCGAGGCAGGCAGCTGCACCACTGAGCTAAATTCCCGGCCCTTGAATACTGAGTTTTAGTTTAGAAAGAATAACTGTTATCCAACAATGCTCAGCAAGTTGCTGGGGCAACTTGGCTCTCTTGTCGACAGAAAGGGATCTGTGTGCCCAGGGTGGCATGCGTGCCACAGGTTCACCACCACTGTTTTAGAAGTATTAGGGATTTTAGGGTGTACCTGACAATGCGGGATTTTGGCCATAGTGAGGTCCAGGTAACAGCATCAGTTCCCAAAAGGGAGTTGGTCACTAGCCTGAGTCTTGTTACAGATTTTCTTTCATAGATGTAACTGAACTTTGAGTCATAGTTGAACAGACACAGGGAACTTTCTTCCCTACCCCCTCCTCCTTCCTAGAGCTAATTTCTTTCATCTCCTTGCTCCGTTTATCTGACCAGTGGAAGATGGAAAGGTTTGTCCTTTGTAGGCTTTGAGGAATGGAGAGAAGGGGAAGTTGACCATATGATCACTATTGCAGTAAGCTCACAGGTGGAGACCAGCATTCCTGAGAGCCTGGGAAACTGACTGGCAAGTGTGAGGGTTGTCTGGACCCCAGGCCTCAGAGCCATGCCTCTTTCTGTGATGTGATCTGTTTCTTCTTGTCACAAGCTCTCTGCTAAAAGAATGGGACCTGCCAGACTCGACAGGAGCTCCCTGGGAACAAAAGACCTTTTATTTTTTTGCTGTCTTTTATTTATATCTCTGTTGCCTAATCAATTTAGTTGTTTTATTCTGAGATCTCATTTTTGGTTCTTAAGAATAAATCTTGGCCAAGGTCAAACTTCAGCTTACCTGCTAGACAGCCCCCTGTCTGCTTGTTTTCTTAAAGTCAGTTATCCACTAATAATCTCTTACCCACTGTGACAGCCTCATTCTTCTCTAGGTTTGTGCGTGTGTGTGTGTGTGTTGGCGGTTGGTATTGGAGATTGAACCCAGGGAACACTGAGCTACATTGCTAGGCTTTAATTAATTATTTATTTATTTTTAAAATTTTGAGACAGGGTCCCACTAAGCTGCCAGGATGGCCTTAAATATGTTTATATGTCTGGCTGCCAGGTGGCTCTGATTTGAATTTGATTGTTCCTGCCAACTTGAATCACCAGTGGTATATGCATGACTGTCACATCAAGCGGCTTATACCGCTTCTCAGGGAGTCTTTCATTACAGTAACGCAAAGAAAGATGTTGATTTAGCAGACCAGATGTCATCTTATTACTATTCCTTAAGTAAAACCTTAAAATGGTATAAAAAAATTGTAGCAGCTAATTTATGATATAGCAATTATGAATGCATATAATATACACCAGCAATGGGGTGCTTTTAAGATATCCATGTTAAAATTCAGAGAATTAATTATTGACAAACTATTCATGAATAGAAATAAATTTCTTTTAATAAAATAAATTTGTTATAATTTTAATTGGTATGAATGTTAATACTTACATTTGTGCAGTATTTATTCAAATTCAAGCAACTAGATTCGGTCCATTGACAGACTTTTTATTAATTTTATAATTAAAAAGACTGAAAAAAGTGATTAGCTGGGGCCAGGGATTTAGCTCAGTGGTGATGCACCTGTCTTGCAAGCGCAAGGTTCAGAGTTCAATCTCCAGTACCAAAAAATAGTGATTAGCTCCATTTGTACCACAGGAGTACAAGCAGGTGGATGATACAGTCATGCATGTACCACTGGTTGTTCAAGCCAGTGGGAATGTGTTAAACTTGTGATCCTCTTGCTTCAGCCTCCTGATTAGCATGAATAGTTGGCCTTACAGGCGTGCACCACACCTGTGCTTCAGTGGGTTTGTGTGTGTGTGTGTGTGTGTGTGTGTGTGAGTGAGTGAGATACTAGGGATTGAACCTTTGCACTGACCAAAGCCCTTTTTATTTTGATGCAGGGTCTCGTCGCTAAGTTGCCCAGCCTGGGCTTTTCAGAGTGCTGGGATTACAGGCATGTGGCACTGCAGCTCGCACTTCTGTAGTTTTTTTTTGTTTGGTTTTTGTTTTTTTTTTGGTACCAGGGATCAAACTCGGGACCTTGTGCTTGCGAGACAGGTGGCAGAACCACTGAGCTAAATCCCTGGCCCACTTCTGTAGTTTTTGATTAATTGGTGTCAGGCTTGTCTTCCCCTGTCCAGAGTCTGAATTTTAAATAGTAAGTTAATGCATGTCTGTGAATAATGCCATTCTCCACAGTATTCAGAGGTCAGTGCAGCTCTAAGCTCTGGCTCTCCCCTCATCTACCTTGAGCACTTGGATTGTTTCTCGCTGTGTCCAACGTGGTTTCTGCTTTGCTGGGTGTTGATAACCCGGAGGACTCAGTGAAAGCTGCAGACTGAGGGACCCTGTCAGGCTCAAGGGCTGAACTACTCATACACTCCCAATATCCTCTGTGGAAATACTGAGAGAAAAATGATAGTGGTGAAGAGGCCCAGAGAGAGGCTTTTTAAACTCAGAAGCATCCCTGCATGTCAGTCTCAGATGGCTGGTGCAGGTACAGACATGAGAGTGTGACAGACGTGTGATAGACGTGTAATAGTTTAGTTCTCTGGACTTTGTCCCTGATGAGATGGAGACAGGCCATCTTTTTTCTTGTGCAGGTGTCCTGAACATTCCCATTGCCAATCTAGGTCTCTCTGATGGCATTAGTCACATTTCTCTTGCTTTTGGGGCAAAATACCTGACGTATGCAACTTAAAGGAGAAGAAGTTTATTTTGCCTTGCAGTTTTCAGAGGATTCAGTCCATGGTTAACTGGCTCCTAGGCAGAAGTATCATGGGCAGAGTGGATGGTGGAGGAAGAGTGTTCATCTTAGGGCAACCAGGGAGCAGAGAGAGGGGAAGGGGCTGAGATAAGAACACACCCTTCCAGGAAAAGAAAAAATATGAGAAAAGGAAAGGATGGAAACAAAGTCTTTGTAAATAGGGAAGGGTGGAGGGGGTGAAGGGAGGGCAGGGGAAGGGGAAAAAGTAAGAACCAAGATACATCATGTAATGGTACAAGATCCCATGATGAATGTAACCGTACTATATACCTAAAATGTACCAATAAAGTTAATGGGAAAAAAAAGAACACACCCTTCCAGGTTATGTCCCAGTGAACTCCTTCCATAACTAGACCTCACCTCCTGATGACACATTCAGCTGTGAACTTGATGAAGGGTTACTCTATCGATGAGGTCAGTGCCCCGGAGATTCAGCAGTTACCTTCCAGATGGCCCACCCCTGAACACTCGAACCTTTTGGGGAACATTTAGATCTGGGAAACATTTAGATCTGAACCCTAACACTTGAATAATACAGGGTAGACAAGTGCCACTAGGCAGTGTCTGATATTGTAATATTGGACTCTGTGTTTAATTTTAGGTGGACAGTCGACCTGACAGCTTTGGAGACTCCCGGGAGAAGGTTGTGGCATTCAGCTTTGATTACTGCTACTGGTCAGTCAACCCAGAGGACCCTCAGTATGCATCTCAAGATGTGGTAATGTCATTTTCCTTCATGTTCCTCAGTTCTTTTATTTATATAATCAGGGAGTGAACCCAGAGCCTTTGCACTGAGCTGCATCCCCAGCTCTTATATTTTCATTTTTAAATGAGGTATCTTGTTAAGTGACTGAGTTCCCCAGGATGGGCTCAAACATGAAATCTTCCTGCCTCAACGTCCAAGAGTGCTGGGATTACAGGCATGCACCATGACACTTGGTTTGTCTGATCTTTTTAAAAAAGTATATCATAAAGGTACTTTTCAAGGTCGTTATGACATAGTTGCACAGATTGGAAGTATTCTATTTCTATTTTTTTGGGTACCGGGAATCAAACTCCAGTCCTTGTGTTTATGAGGCAGGTGGCAGAACCACTGAGCTAAATCCCCGGCCCGGGAAGTATTCTAATTGGTACCTCAAACTTAAAAAAAATTTTGGTACTTCAAACTTAAAAAAAAAGTTTAGTACAAGCTGCCAAGTTTTTAATAAGAAAAATTTCACATTCCTGCCTTGTGAGCACAAAGTCCTGAGTTTGGTCCCTGGAACCAACAAAACAAAAAGAAAAATTTCAATACAACAAAAGACCATTGGCCTTTTTTTTCTTTCTTTCTTTTTTTTTTGGTACCGGGGATCGAACTTGGGTCCTTCCGCTTGCAAGGCAGGCGGCGGAACCACTGAGCTAAATCCCCAGCCCTGGCCTTTTCAAGTATTATTTCTATGGTCGTGTTAACAAAAGAAACTTACTTCATATGCAGTAATCTCATCATATCTTTCCTCAGTTCTTCGTAACTGGATAATTACTGATAATTTAGTATAGAATCTGGTTCCTCGCCGTTTCTTACTTAAGATATTTTGATCAGAAACTAATGATGTTTTGGCCTAAGAAAAGGTAATGAGAGAACCCAGAGGAGGTGGGAAAAGACTGCTTGGTCAGGGCATGAAATTGTTTAGCACCCATGCAGGCCTGGGTCTCAGCATGATTCGAGCAGTGTCAGTCCAGGTGGTATTTTGATCCTGTGATAGTGCATGTGGCTCACCTCAAACATGGCCTTGAATTGTGTGCAGTGGATGGGCTGGTAATCTTAGAGCCTAGCTTGTTTTTGAGCCTTAGGGCTGAACTACTCTAAAATTAGAAAAGAGCATATATTTGGCCTTTTATATTCAGTATTAGTGTGGTTACATAGGAAAAAAAGGATACTATAGTAATGTGTCCTTAGGAAATACCATTGGAATTGGAAATATTTTGGGGGAGACTTGGACAACCACTCCCTTTATGTGTATATACTTTTCAGTAAAAAGCCAGCATCTGTTTTCTGCCAAGTCCTTTAGTCTTTTGTGGAACTTCTTATTATCAAGTCTGAGTCACACAGAGAGACTACGCTGATTTTCTGCTAACGCACACTGCATAGTTCTAAACCATGGAAGCATTCCCTACCCGCTTCTGTGGGGGAGCATTTGGAAAGAAGACCATAGGCCTCTTGAGTCTGTTCTCTATGGAGCGCTTTAGTTGTGAGTGCACCACCTTCATGGTCTTGATATGTTTGCTATAAAGACTCAGCAGAAGAGGGAAGGTGGATATTACCTGACCCCTGTCCAGTCTTCTCTGTCCTTTGGGATATAAGGACACTGGCAGGTCTTTGCTTGAGTTTTATCCCAGCACTTGATGTATGTGAGATATCTGGTTACTGGTATTTTAACTCTTCCATTGAAATCTTCCAAGAAGAGCCAGGAAAGGAACTGACTCTCCGTAAGGGAGGGCAGGACTTCTACAGCAGGATACCATTGTGACTGCATTTGTGACAAAGGACATATTAGCAGAAAGTATGAGCATTTCTGATAGCTGTTTCAGACCTCCCTGGCCATGGCATACCAATGCCTGATATGAATGTACAGAAGAATTAGCTCTTTTATGTAACATTTGATAAAACAGTAATTGTGGAGGGGATGTGTATGTGTTAAAACATATGTGTTATTATCAACAAGTTTGGATACGAGTTTTGTGTGGCTCATGTTTTATATTTATTAATTGTTTGAGTAATCTAGTGGAGACCCAAAAGACAGTAGAGGAGAGTTCATAAATGTGATTCTTCTGTTACCTGATTTGAAAGTTAATGAAAAGTTCCAGTGGGATCAGACAGGAAGCCTGTGCAAAGAGATAAAACCAGTGTCTCCTGAGATTTATTCTGGCTTGTTTAGTAATCACCCGAGTTCCTCATCAGTTCCAGGAAGAGTGAGGATAGGATAGAGAAGGAAGGGAGCCTCTGCCACAGGCTGGAGTAGGGCCAAAGGGCCTAGTATGTCAGGGCTCAACACCAAATGATTCAGGCGGGGGCTTCACTGCTTTAACGTAGAAATCAAAGCCTGGAATCAACCCTAACTGCCATGGCTCTGGGGTCACCAGGGATAGTAAAGGCGGCATGTCATAAAATAGTAGAACTTGGAAGTGAAAGAATTCAGACATTACCTAGTTATCTTCTCTAGAGGATTGGTGATCACATTTGGTGAGGAGTCGGTGTTATTGAAGTATAATTTAGATATAGTAAAATTCATCTTTTATTGTACAGTGTGTAATTCTGAGAGTTTTGACAAACACAGGTATGTTACCGGTACGGCATTATATATATAAAACAGTCCCTCGTGCCAAAAACTCCTTCACGCCCCTTTGTAGTCTCTTTCCCACCCCAGCCCTTTGTAACTTCTGATCTGTTTCCTGAGTCTACAGGTGTTTTACTTTGTTCTGTTTCTGACCCTCTGGTTTTGTCTGTTCCAGAATGTCATGTGAATGGACTCACACAGTGTATAGCTGTTTTGAGTTAGGCGTCTTTCAACTAGTGTGATGTATTTGAGAGTCATCTCTGCTGTGGTATATATTACATCTCTTCCTGACTTTGATTTAGACTGATTTAAATCATCTCACCTAAATGGACTTGTATGGTTTTGGAAACACTGATTCTACCTGTAAAACACGTGGGACCGAGTCCCTGGAGGTCAGTGTTTCTTTGATCCCTGGGTCTCTTATTGATGTAAAGGAAGGATTTCATCACCCTTAGAAATAGAACATTGAGTCAGGCATAATGGTGTACTCCTGTAATCCCAGCACCCAGGAGGCTGAGGCAGGACAATCACTGTGAGTTTGAGGCCAGCCTGGGCTACATAGTAAGTTCAAGGCCAGCCTGAACTGTATACATAGCGAGATCCTGTTTCAACCCCCCCCCCAAAAAAAAACCAAAACCAAAAAAAAAACTACAGCATTAATTGTAGATATCCAGATATTGTATCAGAGCAAAGTATCCAGTTTCTAGTGAGGAAGAGCCAAATGTCTGGCTTTAGGGAGATTTTGAGTAATATCATGAAGGGCCATTCATAGATGGATATTGATGAAAATGTCACCTGTCCAAGTGTTGGTGTTGCCTCATCATAGTTTCTTAGTTTGTTAGAGCTTGAAATTAGTAACCTGGGCTAGGATTTCTGAAGCTCAGCACTACTGACATTTTGACCACGTAATTCTTTGTTGTGGGTGTCTGTCATGCATTATAGGATGTTTACCAGTATTCCTGGCCTCTACCCACTAGATGTCCATAGCAGTCCCTCAGTTGTGACAATCAGAAATATCTTCAGACATTGTCAGCTATTCTAAGCCAGTCCCCTGGAGTTACCAATATAACTCTGGAACTTCTGCAGGTTATCCAGGCACTTACTGCACAAGTAGGCCTGGACCCGTGCTTCCTTATGGTGGTCCTTTCATTGCTTTGTATCATTTTACTTCCCCTCTTTGTATGTTTATTAAGAGTCACAAAAGATAGTTTCAAAATTAGAATTCCTTAGTGTGTTGTTACTTCCAGTCCTTAGTGGTGACATATCTGAGAAAATGGATCAAGGGTCAGCAATGAATCACTAGAGAATAAGTCAGCCACTCAAAGTTCTACTGAGAGGCAGTTTTATTTGTTAAATACCTATTGATGGCAATGTATAACTTAAATGTTTATTATTTTATTTAATTTCTATTAAACCTATATTACTTATCAGCAGCACAGTGCTTGGTCCTGAGTTTGAGCCCTGGTACCAAAACAACAACAACAGTAAATCTATAATTACTTATTCCATTAAGATAAGGAAACTGAAACTCAGAAAGGCGAACCTGAGCTACATAGTTTGTTCAAGGCCAGCCTGAACTACATAGCAGACCCTGTCTCAAAAAACAGAACAAAACAGGGGCTGAGGATTTAGCTCAGTGGCTCTGCCGCCTGCCTCGCAAGCGTATGATCCCAAAGAAAAAACAGAACAAAACAAAACCAAAAAAAGTCATTTACCCAGTAAGTGGTAGAGAGTGATTCAGATCCAAGATTGCTCAACTCTAAACTTCCACTAAGCCTCTCTGGCACTCCAAGTTTACCCCCAAGAAACCCATTTAGCCTACTAGTGGCCTCATCGTCTGTCTATACTTTATTTGATTTAATCCCTTCAACTCCCTAAAGGGTGGAGGATTTTAACCCCCTAACCCCAATTTATAGTTGAGAAAGTTTAGGCTTAGAGATAGTACATGATCTGCCAAACTCACACAATAAGAAATAAATCCTGGATTTTAACACAGGACCATCTGAATGCAAAGTTCGTATTCTTCACTATGCTGCAGTGTTAGAGAAGAGAAGAAAAAGAAAGATATGGGAACTGAAAGAGATGGAAAATTGGGGAAGGAGGGAGAGGGAGGGAGATAAGGAGGCGGGGCAGGGATGTAGTTCAGTGGCACAGTACCTGCAGTGAAGTCTTGAGTTTGAACCCTGGTGCCAAAAAAATAAAAAAGAGAGAGAGAAAGAGAATGATGGTAGAGAATGGGGAGTGGTAGGGGCCCATAGACCTATCCATTATCCATGACCCTTATGTCACCAGCTCTCACTCCCCCCTTTTATGTTTTTGAGGTGTATGTATGTACCCAGTTTGGCCTCAAACTCTTTTTTTGAGACAGGGTCTTGCTATGCAGTTCAGGCTGGCCTAGAACTCA